CTCTGGGCCTGTGGACCACAGCTTCTTAGGAACATCAGTCTTTAGTGAATCAGGGAAATTAGTCCTTAGGTCTTTTGCATCCCCATGAGGCTCTTCTAGATGTAGCATCAGGGGTAAGGAGCACAAAGCTGAGGTGTCTGAGACAGATAAAGGGGTGGATAGTTCCACTTGTCCATCTGGAGTAAAGGTGATGGATGCCTGCAGGCGTGAAAGAACATCAGCTCCTAACAGGTTAATGGGGCATGTGGAAGATACCACAAAGCGAGCAAGCAAGTTGTGGCAGTTACCAACCCGCAGTGGGGTGGACAGGGGACTTTGCCTTGGAAGGCCGTCCACCCCAACACAGGAGACACCAATATTGGAAAGAAATGAGGTATCGGGCAGGTCTTGTTCTCTCAGAACACTTCAGGCTGCACCTGTGTCAACTAGGAAAGTGGTGGGCTGGCCCTCAATGGGTAAAATTACAGTAGCTAGAGGCCCCCCCTGTTCCCCTGAAGACACTGCCATGGCAGGGGCATTAAGCATCAGCGGGTTTGCTCTCCTCTGTATGGGCTGTGTTACTGACTCAAACCCCTTTCTATGTCATTAGCCATAGCTTTTTGCAGTCTGAACATGTCTATCATTATAAATAATGGTTAATGGTAAGTGAAGTAAAGTTCCTATATGTCTTTGGATAAAACATTAACTATTGCGGTACTATCATTTATATTAATTAGACTATAACAATTATACCACCCTGTAACTAAAATGAATAACCAGTAGTGGCTGGGTTAATAAAACATGTCACAAACCCTTCTAATACTAAACCATCATTTAAAGTAAAGGATGTTACTGTAAACATACGATCTGTAACTAGCAAGATTCGATTAAGTAAAGATACAATGTTTAAAATAACTTGCATTATTTGGCTATTTCCCTTGTTGCAAGATTAATCTGGATAATCAGCTGTTATGCTCTTATATTCGTGTCCAACAGATTTCATATGTAGGTCACACCACAGTTGCAAATTACATTTTAGCAACCTTCTTTTTTTTTATATCACGGACAAATTGCTGATACAGGGAAACAAATGGCATGATTGTTTTAGTAATTATAATGTTTCTGTTCATAATATGTAGAGTGTAAGGAAAACAACATGTCTCTAAATGGGACGAGCATAATAGGGGTAGGCCTCATGATGGAGGCAGCCATGAGAGGGGCGGGGAAGGAAATGACAGCAAGGGAGGAAGTGAGAGGGGTGACGTCCATGATATGTGTGGGAAAGGAAGACAGGAGGTGTGGGCATGGTAAGGGCGGAAGTGACGTTACTTTAGAAGCAACCGTGACTGTGGATAGGTCATGGGACTGGCAGGCGCCATCTTTAGGGTGGTGGTTGACGTACTTTCAACCATACACTATATTATAACTATTAAAATAAGTCAGAGAAGCAACATTCTGTTCTGCAAAATGAAATACTAAACTATGAACAGACCTGGCAGGTTGAATAAGACAGTTGAGAACATTATGCATTTAACAGCCCATACAGCTGTTTCTAGAAACATGTACTTTAAAATAATAAAATGATGCAAAATAAACTCACGGAATTCAACCAATTTCCCTTATCATCCTCTAGCCATTAATCACTTTCCTCTTCACATACTAGCTTAACTCCGCATATTCCCTCTATCCACATTGCATAGTTTTGCAAAAAATCACGCTTGCCTTTACACTTAACACGTCCAAATATTCCACTATTCTTGTATCAGATTCACTTACCTCCGTAAATCAACACTGAGCTACATTCTTGTGTCTCCCCCACAATCCTCACCACTTTATCACAAAACTCAATCTATACATACACACACATATATATATATATATATATACATATATATATATATATATATACACACACACACATATATATACATATACAAACGGCAAACGGCAACAATAATAATATTATTACACAACTATAACACCATAACCTCTGAATTAGAATATTTTCTAGCAAAAATCCCATTCCTAACTCTTATCAGTAGCTCCGAAATGCAGAAGGCATGTACCTCCCCCATTCGGAGGCAAGTGGGGAGGAAAGGGGGGGGGGATGTGAGACAGTGCAAAAAAGGGAGAGAAGCTGCAGGCATGAAGATTAACCATGTGAGTGCTGGAAAGTAACAAGACAGAAGGACAGAGACTTATACGTTTGGAAACCAGAAATCTTTGACGGGAAAAACGGACTGGAGGTGCAGGGAGCTGCAGAGAGAGGATGAGGGTGACGAGATCTGTAGGACTGATGGAGGGGGGGGAATAGGGATCCATCAGCATCCAGTAACACAATTATTATAATACACAAACAAACTTAAACCTTTGTGATCAATATCTTCCTCAACCTATCCCTTTTGCTGAATAGCTCTTGCTACTCGGTATCAGGCTTCTGCTGTACAAACCAAATCTTAGTCCGACAGCTTCTCTTTCTTCTCTGTCAGTAACTTACGCCAGCTCTCTGGCTACAATCTGCCGCACAGAGGTACGGTAATTCCACATACTTTAGCAATCTTCCTCACTTTCTTAACCATCTCTTCTCCTTCTCTGTCTTCCACTAGATCACATGCTAACCAACCCTTACTGGGTTTATCTAACTTCTGTCCCATCCTCCCTATATAAGGCGTCCCAGATATAGAGAGAGAAAGGAACAGAACGTCTACCGTGCTCGACTGCTACTTTAAGAGCAAGCTCTTTAAGTACGTCTTCCCAAAACGTAGACTAGTCACTGATTCCGCCTACCCGTGGTAGCCGCGGATTGGAGCGTGGCGAGAAGTGTGTGACCAATCACTTCTCTCAACAAAGAGAAAGAGAAATAGGAGGGGAAAGTGTAAATAGTACAGTGAGTAAGATAGAAGTAAACACAGTGTGATGGGATTCCAGCATGGTCAAAATTTAGTAGGCCAAAATCTCCATGTGGCATATGTGTATGTTGTGTCAGTTGGTTAGCTACATGTAGCTAGGATACTGTCATCAGTGTACTGAGCATGTGCAGGAATGCAGGAACTGAAATTGCACTTATTTCCTTTGTCTTGGATGAGCCATGTGGTTTGACTAGATGTACAAGTCTATATTCTGCTCATTGATTGGTCTGAGGAATATAGGAGGGGTTATACTGTATGGGAGGAGATGTGCAGTTAACAAAAGTCCCAAGCCACAAGTATATGTCTCTCAGATCCTTTGGAACAGGAGTTCATCTGAGACCCGATCGGTAATGTGAATAAAGGCCTGTTACTTCCTGAAGACCTGTGTCCAATATTTCTGTGTTTGGCTTCTGCATGCTTACACTGCAACATTTCTGGTGCAATTGGCCGGGAACCTCATCGCACGGAAGCTGGCACAGAGATTTGAGACGGTAAACTTTTACCAAACCTTCTACGCTACAATCCTGGACTTCTACTGCGTGGACCTCCTTTCGTCTCGGCGCCACTGGCCTTTTGTCCAGGAGATCATCGGCTTCTGCGCAGTGAGTCCCGGATTGTTCCGTCTATGAGTGAACCCAGGTCCAGAAATTAACAGGTGAGATTGATACCGTTAGAGCGGTAGACCCACAAGGGGTTTTATATTTGGAACCGGTTATTGGAATCTGCCCTGTCCTTATGGATGGAAGAAGTGAAAAGCGCAACACTTATCTGGAAATTAGACGCTCTGTAGTCAGCCCGTCTAATATAGGTGGTTTGGGTCAGACTGAGTTCTGGTGTAAATAGCTCATGTCGGACACCGGTGTCCTGTCTTGACTAGCGTATCTAGGGTGTAAATTTTGTTCGCTAGGTCGGGGGGACCGGGAGACTAGCATACTCTGTTGTATATTATAGTTTGCTAGATTTCACCCTATCTTAACTAAGTGTGCTCTGTTGTAAATCCAGCCACTAGCTTATTGATAGTTTAATAGACTAGCTGGGTACTGTGTAAATTCTGCCCTCTAGTTCGCTATACGTGGTGTCTGGGCAGCGAAGAACTTATCGAATCTCTGGTGTATAAATAGATCGAAAGCTCTCGAGGTGCTGGCCAGTTAGAATAGTTGGGATTATTGTAAATGTTGTTAAATATATTGTAGTTGGTGAATTGGTTAACTTGTATGTCCTACTAGAAAGTTAGAGCTCTGCTGTCTAGTGGGAGTGTAAATTGTGTGTATAACTGTAAAATAGCGCACGGTACCATAACTACTGACATGTACCATAACCACTGACATTGTGTAAAAATTACTAACAATTGCTGTTTTATGTTATATGTATAATACCATAACTGTTACTAACTGATCTGTGACTTTAAAACTGTATTATAACCACTTACTAACTGTACCATAACCACTGACTGTAAAGATGAGGTTACTAGAATGTGATATAGTTGGTTAGTCAAGAGTTGATTTATAGTACAGATAATTGTAGAGATGAAATCTGTTGAAATGTTATGTGATCGGTTAGTTTATATGGATTAATAGCGTGGATAGTTGTATGGTTTGAATAATAGTTACATTGATAAGTGTATAGTCTTTGGTGGGTTTTTGATTTAATTTCGTGTGTGCGACGTCGTGATATTGTTGAGCATGTGAGGATCCTGTGTGTGTGTTTGGGCCTAGTGACTGCGCAATGTGTTGCTGGTGATAAGGAGATTGGTGTGACTGTTGAAACTGTGTGTATATTTGTACAGCTTTTTGAATCAGATGCTCTGTTGAAATAATCTTCTGATTCACAAGGCTTTGTCTTGTATGTTTAAAAAAAAAAAAAAAAAAACAAAAGTAGGGAGTAGCTTGTCCTGGTGGCCGCATGGCCTCCATGTAGCAGTCTTCACTTAAATTTAGTGCAGGGTGTACATGTGGCTGTAACTAGTAGGCTGGAATTCTATGATCAGTTTCTATAAATTGACTGTTGGAAACTGATTTGTTGAAAAACTGCCTTGGTGAATTAAACTGTGTCATATGGGAAACAATGTAGCCATATGGTGGTCAGAACTAAGGACTTAATTACAACTGCTTTGGATATCCCCTCCCCCCTGGCATCTGATTACCAACCCCCCAAACATCCTCCAGAGCCAGAGTAGCCACGCCCATTTCTTACTCCCAAAACTGGTATATAGTCAGTATTTGCACTCTCCCTGCTCTACTGTCCCCGCCTACCCACATACCTATCTGTTCCTGTGTTTCAAACTCTTGTATTTCTGTACTACCCCTCCCCCTAATCAATGATCAATGGTATCAGATGGTATATGGTCTTTTTTTAGTTACTGGATGGGCCCCTCCCAGCTTTGTCCAAAATGTCCCCTTTTACTAAACTACAAACTGAAATGTTTAATTTACCTTAGAACTAAAGATTTAATCAAGCCTAGATATCAGGGTGGACATTGATTAAAATAAGTAATAATAAAATAGGACATAATTAATTAAAGTCTATTTGTTTCATTTGACTTTAGGGAGGCACTCTAAGCCACCTACTGGCCATCTTCGGGAGTTACATTGATAATACATTGTTTATAACAGATAGATGTAGGATTGCTTACCCTATTTTAATATATTTATTGCTATAAGGTTTTATTTTATGTATAAATATATTAAAAGTTGAGTTTTCTTATTAGACCCATAAAGATTATTTTGATACAATTACCCTCTGGTGACACCTACTGGTAGGTTTTTGGTTTAACACTTTAAAAAAAAAAAAACATTTTTTCATCCACCAAATGCTGACTAATAAAATTAGCTCACCCCCTTTCACCTATTTTACTAATCCTAGACTGTAACCTATTATTGGGCAGCCTTGCCGAAGTCCCATATTAGACACTGCTTGAGTCAAATAGGTTGTATACTCCCTTTAATCCAGAGGCCCCTGAAAACTTCCGAATGATAGACTCAGCATTTGTCAGCCAGGCCCAAGGTGATAGTAAAAGGAAATTACAGAAATTAGAGGGATTTGCAGGGATGTCCATAATACAGCTAATGGAGATTGCAAATACAGTATATATGAATAGGGAGATGGAGGAAGAACGTAAAATGAGGAAAAAGGCAGATATGCTAGCGGTAGCTATCTTAAGTGTAGAAAGACAGGGAAGTGAATAGAGGAGACGAGAATAGGCTGAGCAAGGGACTTTAAGTAGGAATTAATGTGCGTATTGTAGAAAGGAGGGACATTGGAAGAGTGAGTGTCCACAGAGAGAGCAGTATGAAGGTGATAGACAGGAGAGAGAAGGGTACGAGGAGGTTATAGTGGTAGTTATAGAGGAAGAGGAAGTTTTAGAGGGAATGGTGGGAATAGTAGAGGAAGTGTTCAAGGAGACAGATACTATCCACCCACGCAGAGACCTAGAGAAAGAGAGGATAGAGATTTTGTGGGTCTGGCTGACACTATCATGGAAGACTATTGATACCGACTGGGCTCCATCCCACTTGGTCGAGCGGAGCCTATGGTCGATGTAGCAATAGGGGGAAAGAGAAGTTCTTTCATGATCGACACAGGTGCTGAACATTCTGTGGTGACTAAGATGGTGGCTCCGCCTTCGGGGAAGACTATAACTGTGATAGGAGCTACTGGGAGAAGTGCAGCTAGACTGGTTCTTAAGAGTCGCACTTGTATTCTGGGAGGCCATGTGGTGAAGCATTAGTTCCTATATATGCCAGAGTGTCCGATTCAACTTTTAGGACGAGATCTATTATCGAAGCTTTAAGCTCAGATAACCTTTTACCTAATGGATTAACATCTCTGAAGTTTAAGGGATTACCAGGCATAATGGCGATATCGGTGCCAAGGGAAGAAGAATGACGCTTCTATTCCATAGTGACAAGTGTTAACCCTAAGAGTGATGAATCCTTATTTGACATTCCAGGAGTATGGGAAGAAAATAATCCTCCAGGACTTGCTCGTAATATCCCACCAATACATATTGAGTTAAAGCTCGGGGTGTATCCTGTTAGCCTTTGTATGTTGTTCTTTTATCTACCCCAACAGCTGTAAAGGTGGCGGAAGTGACTCCTTGGATTCATCATTCTAAGGTTAAACCAGCAGCAGACTCTTGGCAAGCTACTCCAGATCCTGAGAATCCTTGCAGGACCCGGTTGAAGCGTGCAACTCAGTCGGAGTGACGAGGGGATATCGAGACATTCTAGTTAAAAGTCTACAAAGATCATCAAGTAGGTGTTTTGACGGCCATAATAAAGCCTGACCACCTGCCTACGTGTCATAGCCAGAGTATCTTGAAGGGATCTCTGTGAAGGAAAGTGAGGATCAGAAGAACAACATCCTTGCAGCCCTCACAATCGGGAAGCTGAGAGGCCATCGCACGGTCGAAGAAAAATGAGGATTTCAGGAATAATGTGTTTTATTGTGTCTTAGTATTTTTATGATTTTTCAGGAAGGTAGGAGTACAGACATACCGAATTGCGATAGTTGCATTAAGACTACTAAAACAGGTAACCAAATATCCCAAACTCTCATCTGGCACTCACAGTATGAATGTAAGGGATCTGTATCTAAATGTAGATATTTGGATATTGATTATAGTGTGTGCAAGCCAATATCAGGAGAGTCTAAATGTTTTGATCCCCATTTCCAACCCCGTACAATTTGGTTGGTAATTCGGAATAGTAACTCCCAGGGGACATTAATAAATAGGACTGTGATAAGCACCATACATTCCACGGGTATTCTACTATTTGATGCATGTAAGGCGATTTCGGGTAGTGGAAGACTTTGGAATGTATGTGGTAATCTTAAATGGGAACGAACTTATGGGTTTAATGATAAATACTTATGTCCCAGTAAAATCTACTGATCCTGATTGCCCAAATAGAGACTAACTTCTGCCCCTATTTGTCATGTGTAGGTTGGGCAACCTGGGAAAAACAGTGGATCAAGATATGATTATCCAAAGGTTGCCTACCACACCATACTGTAAAACTATGTGTGTAACCCCGTTCACATGACCATTTCCAATCTGCAGTACTTTATTGACAGGTTTGGAGGTCTGTTTGGGTTTCAAATATATGGCACAGGAGTAGATTCAGGAACAATAATATATGTAGGTCTTGAAACTGAGACAGTGGCAACTCAAACTCATCAGGTTTCTCATTCCTTCTATGAGGAGATGAGTATTGAGGATAAAATTCCCCATAATGTTAACAACCTATTTATTGATTTGGCTGAGGGTATTGCAGGTAGTCTTAATGTAACTAATTGCTATGTGTGTGGAGGTACTAATATGGGAGACCAGTGGCCATGGGAGGCAAAGGAAATATGGTACCCTGGCTCTGAGACATATGAACAACAGATACCTTTCCAGTCTGATCATCAAGTAAGTACTAGAAGTAAATTGGAATGGTGGTTAAAAACCTCCATTATAGGTCATGTTTGTATAGCCAGGAAAGGGACAATGTATAACACGTCTGTAGGTGAGCTAACGTGCTTGGGACAAAAAGCCTATAATGTTAATACTAAAAATACTACTTGGTGGTCAGCTTCAAATGTCTCGGAACCTACTAATCCGTTTGCCAATTACACTCATTTAAGGGAGGTATGGTTTGACTTATCGGCTACATCTAGTTGGAAAGCCCCAGCAAATTTATACTGGATTTGTTGTAAGAAAACTTATTCGGAGTTACCACAAGATTGGGAAGGGGTATGTGTATTAGGTATGCCAAAGCCATCCTTCTTCTTGTTGCCAATCGAAACAGGAGAGACCTTGGGAGTTAAGGTTTACGATGTAAATCATAAAAGGGAGAGAGCATCCTTGAATACAGGTAGCTGGAAAGATAATGAGTGGCCCCCTCAACGTATTATTAATTATTATGGACCTACTACTTGGGCAGAAGATGGCACTTATGGATATAGAACTCCGATTATATATGCTCAACCGCATTATTAGACTACGGGCGGTAGTTGAGATTATTACTAATGAGACAGCTCAAGTGCTTAATCTTCTAGCTAAGCAAATACCAAGATGTGATCAGCCATATACCAGAATAGGCTAGCCCTTGATTACTTACTAGCAGTAGAAGGAGGTGTATGCGGAAAGTTTAATCTAAGTAACTGTTGTCTGCACATAGATGATGAAGGGCAGGCAGTGGCTGAACTTACAAGCCACATGGTTAAATTTGTGCATGTACCTACTCAGGTCTGGAATGGGTATAACCTAAGTAGTTGGTTTGGAAGTTGGTATGAGCAGCTTGGAGGAATTAAGACATTAGTAGGAGGAGTAGAATTTATTATTTTTTTTGTGCCTCCTCCTGCCCTGTCTAATTCCACTAGTGGTAAGGTCCCTAAGTAGTATTATAGAGAGTACTATAGAGAGAAAGACAGCGGCTCATGTAATGGCTGTCTGGAAGATATGATCCCCTAGCCCGAAGAGAATATATTCAGGATGAAGAATGTTGAAGGAGTTTTTAAGATGCTTACAAGGTCTACTCTGGTTCAATGGCTACTTGAGAGATGTAGGTAAAACTGTGATTGGTGATGCATCTGGAATAATGTTATATCAGAGGCATCAAAAGGGGGGAATGTGATGGGATTCCAGCATGGTTAAAATTTAGTAGGCCAAAATCTCCATGTGGCATATGTGTATGTTGTGTCAGTTGGTTAGCTACATGTAGCTAGGATACTGTCATCAGTGTACTGAGCATGTGCAGGAATGCAGGAACTGAAATTGCACTTATTTCCTTTGTCTTGGATGAGCCATGTGGTTTGACTAGATGTACAAGTCTATATTCTGCTCATTGATTGGTTAAAGGTATATGTGGGTGTAGCTATTAATGGGAGGAGTTATGGTGCTATATAAGGAATGTACACTATGTGTTGGTCTCTCAGAATGTTGGAACAGGAGTTCATCTGAGACCCGATCGGTAATGTGAATAAAGGCCTGTTACTTCCTGAAGACCTGTGTCCAATATTTCTGTGTTTGGCTTCTGCATGCTTACACTGCAACATAATAACATGCCTTTTATAGATTGAGCTAGATATATGGCTAACACACATATGGATAAAATGCAATTCTTTTTTAGTTATTCCTATAAATTCTACAAATATGGCCACAGAAAACAGCATGCAAGCTCATACACTCACATCCAGCTTGTCCAGTTCTGCATGTTTTACTGTCTGGCCTGCAACGCAGTCATACTGTAGTAAGTTTCCTGCTTGTTCCAGCCATTATTCCCACAATATTTTTTAAATAAATGTTTAACTCAGAATAGATTAGCAGTTGTCAAGTTATACAGTAGACGTGTATTTTGTTTGGTTCTGAATTTTAATTCACACCAACTGGCAATACGGAAGCATTCGGCTTTCCAAATTCCTTACAAACTGAAAACAAACTGATTCGGAACAAATTCAAACTACATTACTCAGGCTGTCTTCATACAGATAGCAAATTAGGGACTTAACTATTAAGCAACAACAGCAGCAATATTATGATAAGGTTTTATGTTTGTTTGTTTGTTTGTTTGAATTTTGACCTTTCACCTGTTTCGTAGATAGTGCCCTAATTTGGTATCATTACATGGGATTGCCATCGTCAAAGGTACCAAATTAGGGACATATCTATTAAGCAACTGAATCAGCAAAGTTAAAAAAGGCTGCTGTGAACAGAAATTTCCTAATTTGGTACCTTTAAAAATAGTAATCCCACATAAGGGTACCAAGTTAGGGAGCTATATACTAAACAACTGCCTGAAAGATCAGAATGATTAAGTGTTTTTTTTTTTCAAATGTTGCCTTTTCAGCTGTTTAGTGGATAGCTCCCTAATTTGGTTCTAATCTCCTAATTAGGGGGCGGAGCTAGCAACAGAGCAAAGAAGACACACATCCTTAGAGGTCCTGAGAGATACAAGCTATATTTTAGTAAATTTCACCACAAAAAAAGGATATACTCCTGCTAAAGCCTTCTGGACACTGTGGGAAGAAAAACCAAACCTCGCCAGAGTGAAACAGCTAGCTCTTCTAAAGATATTGGCCCTCTGCTTTGAGTACTCCGCAGCTGTGGCCTGTCAAGATGGCACCTGCGCCGGATGTCTCAGACTAAACCTCTGAAGAGAGCAATCAAGATGGCTCCATAGCTCCTATCTGCAGAGGTGTAACTAGAAGCCGCTGGGCCTCGATGGGAAAATTGCCCTGGGGCAAAACCATGTATCTAATTCCTCCTTTCCCAGCAGTCCCTCCATGTGCCTTATTCACCCCAGGGCAGGGCCCCCTTGAGTGACGGCCCCATCGCAGCTGCAACCCCTGCGACCTCTTTTGGTACGTACACCACTGTTTATCTGGCAAACAAATAAGCAGGCAACTCCCATTACAGCTCCAGAACACTTACCAGCAAGTAAAGCTAATATCCAGAACCTCCTCAAATAATTTAAAGTTCTCTTTGCTGCTAATATTGCACTTGTCCAAGAATACATGGGAGCTATGGCAACTCGGCTGCAGACAGTGGAGAATGACAGGTGCATTGAGAAAGGCAAACAAATTTATTTAAAGATAGAGGTTGACAGGTGGCATCTGGCTTCTGAATTTTCACTTACAGGATGCATGTTGCGCCGTCAGGCATGGGCACTGTGGTCAGCTGATGCTATCAGCCAATCAGTGACTTCTCATTCACTAAACTGGCTTGGAAAGAAACATACCTTTCCCAAGCCAGTTTAGTGAATGGGGAGTCACTGAATGTCTGAGAGCGTCAGTTAACCTCTCTCAGCCAATCAGAGGCTCCTCTGCCCAGAGGTAGAAGCAGGATGCCACCTGGGGAGTTTAACCTCTTAACCTTTAAGTAAGAGTGCCTCCAGGGGCTACAGGGGCCTCCTGGCACCATAACAACTTCATCTAAGGAGTGGCCAGTGGAGTTATCACTAGGCTATAATGTAAACACTGCATTTTCTCTGAAAAGACAGTGTTTACAGCAAAAATCCTGAAGGGAATGATTCTACTCACCAGAACAAATGCAATAAGCTGTAGTTTTTCTGATGACTTTAGTGTCCCTTTAACCCCTTCCCGACTGAGGAACAACAAACAGTCGTTAACGACCTCGGACGTACCTGGTATGTCTGCAGCAAACTATGTACTTACCTGATTGCTGGTGTTCCCCCACCAGCAATTGCAATGTGGGGACTTGCCTGGCATCCCAGGCAGTCCCCCTGCAACTGATCCAGCCCCCCCCCGGGCCATGTGATCGTGGGGTCCTCGTGATCACATGGCCGAAATAGCCGGATTGTGCAGTGTCTGCAGGGGGCCTGCCTGAGCTCTCAGGCTGTCCCCCTAGAGCCTGTACAAAAGTTTTAAAAGTAAATAAAAGTTGTAAAATAATTTTTTAATTAAATAAAAGTACTTAGATCATATATTTATACAATATTTAAAAAATAGATTTTCTCACCCATCCTGGGTGGTATGTTTTTTCCTCATTCTTGGGTCCTCTACCAGAGGCCTGTGAGTTTGAGGGTTCTGCACAGTTCTTAGCTATTCCTAGAACTGCACTCTTCTGGAAAGTGATCTCAGATGTCCCACCTGGAGTGCTCCTATCATAACTGGGACTACTACTGCCTTCACTTTACACATCCTTTCTAGTTCTTCTTTCAGTCCTTGGTATTTGTCCACCTTCTCATGTTCCTTATTCCAGATGTTATAGTTACTGGGTATTGCCACATCCACCACGACTGCAGTCTTCCGTTCCTTGTCTACCACCACGATGTCGGGTTGGTTTGCCAGCACTTGCTTGTCTGTCTGGATCTCGAAGTCCCACAGGATCTTAGCCCTGTCATTATCAACTACCTTTTGTGGTATCTCCTATCTGGACTTCATACAGACACTTACATCCATACATACACACATTCATAATGACATACAGACATACATTCACACTGGCATACACACATTCATACAGACAGACAAACATACACACATTCATAATGACATGTAGACATACATACACTGACATTCATACACACATAATGACATGCATACAGGCATACAGACAGGCATACAGACATACATACATACAGACATACATTCATACTGACATACCTACATTCATACAGACACTGACATCCATACATACACACATTCATAATGACATACAGACAAACATTCATACTGGCATACATACATTTATACAGACAGACATACACACATTCATAATGACATGCAGACATACATACACTGACATTCATACACACATACAGACATACAGACATAAAGACATGCATACAGACATACATAAAGACATACATACATACAGACATACATTCATACTGGCATACATACATTCATACAGACACTGACATCCATACATACACACATTCATAATGACATACAGACATACATTCACACTGGCATACACACATTCATGCAGACAGACATACATACACTGACATTCATACACACACACAGCTCATTTTCCAGCCACCCTCCTGTTTCTTACCTAGTCTTTGCAGGAGGGTGGCTGAGGCTGATGGGACTGGGAGTCAGCTGGCTCTCCCTCTTCATTGCTGGGCGCGCGCTCCTCCCGCACGGAGTGAGCTGGGAGGAAGTGACCACTTCCTCCCAGCAGCACTTGCGCTGTGGCGGCATTTTTTTTTTTAAAGGGGCCCGGTCGCGCTATACAACGGCCATAGCGCTGAATGGGCCCCTGAAGATATGGGGCCCATCGGGTGGCCCTAAGTGCGTGGGCCACCTGATGGGCCCCATCAGCGTGCGGGCTCCAGTGCAAGTGCACAGGCGGCGGTTCCACCGCTACACGTTATGGTTGTCACCCCCTGATGGCGACCCTGCCTACACACTCCACTCCTTGTGAGCAAACTCATGGGTGGAACATGTAGGTGGACTTATGGGTGGGCCTTATGGGCATACTCATTGTCAGGCCCTGGGGCCCAGACCTTGAGCTGTGCAAGGGGCCCAAAAAATGGAGCTGCTTCACATTCCCCCAAAACCCTTTTACTTTTGTGACCACAGTTACAAACAGCCGCCAGAGAGCCTGTTCTACAGCAGACCAGTGGAGTCAGGCTGCAGCCAGAGCTCATCCTCATCCTCATTTGGTTGTAAGTAGGCAATCTAGTATATTATTAGTGACACTAATCTCTAATTTACCTCACATTAAAGGGACACTATAGTCCCCAGAACCACTGCAGCTTAATGTAGTGGTTCTGGTGTCTATAGCCTGTCCCTGCAGGCTTTTTAATGTAAACACACGCTGTGTGCAGCACTGGCGTTAGTTCATATGGCAGATCATATGGGTGAGGCATTGTGATGTCACATTGGGGGGAGGGGAGGCACATTTTTATTTTACCTAGGGCGGCATTGCTTCCCTATAGGATTGGTTGAGACTGTCAAGGAGGCAGATCAGGGGCAGAGCCAGCACAAGTCAAACACAGCCCTGGCCAATCAGCATCTCCTTATAGAGATTAATTGCATCAATGCATCTCTATGACGAAAGTTCAGTGTCTGCATATATT